CCTGTGGACTGAAGGGTCCCAGGTTCAATTCTGGTCAAGGGCATGTACCTTGGTTGTGGGCACATCCCCAGTAGGGGGTGTACAGGCCGGGCTGAGGGACCACCTCCTAGCGCATGAATGTCATGCACCCGGCCTCTAGTTTATAAATATAAGGTCTATGAAGGGAAGATGAATGGTTCTGTAAGAACACATAACAAGGGCATCTCATCTTGTCTTGCATCATTGGAAGGCTGAGTGGTGTTAACTAAGCAGAGAGGGGAAGTAGGAGGGAGCCAGACAGGAAACTGGTAACAACACAGGGGAGAGTATGGAACCACCGGGATATGGGAGTTCACTGGTGGTGGTGGTGATAGGGGAGAGCAACCTGGAAAGGCTTCATGGAAGAGACAGATCTGGAGGAAGAAGAATTCTCTCTCCCCATTGCCTCCCTCTCCCCCCGCCCCCCGCCCCAAGATTGGTTTAGTGAGTAGAGAGGAAAAGGAAACATCATGAATTTAGAATGAACCTAATGAATTCTGGGGGACAGGGACACTGGTTATTAGGATTCTTTCAGTTGTGAATAACAGACACTCGATTTGAACTGGCCAAAGAAAAAGACACTAAAGACTCCAGAATATAGATCCAGTGGCAAGTGGATCTATTCCATTCTTCAGCTTCATTTTTCTATGTTGGCTTCATGCTCAGGCAGTGGAAATATGGTAGCTCTGGATTTTATCCAATCAGCTCAGCAAACTCAGGAAGGGGTGTACTTCCTTGCCCAAAAACCCAGGTCTGACTCTCATTGGCTCAGCTTGGATCATGTGCTTTACTCTGGAGCCAGGGGGCAGAGTCAGGCACACCTGAACTTTAGGGTCTGAGAATGAGAGAGGGTAAGTTCCCCAAAGCAGAATCTGGGAGGCAGGCAGGGAAAAACAAAGAACGCCACAAGTGGTTGGCTGGAACAATGCTCCTCAGGTTTTATTTTATTTTTTTAAAATATATTTTATTGATTTTTTACAGAGAGGAAGGGAGAGGGATAGAGAATTAGAAACATCGACCAGCTGCCTCCTGCACATCTCCTACCAGGGATGTGCCCGCTACCAATGTACATGCCCTTGACCGGAATCGAACCCAGGACCTTTCAGTCCACAGGCTGACGCTCTATCCACTGAGCCAAACCGGTTTCGGCGCTCCTCAGGTTTTATATGCAAAATCTCATTGGCAGGTCTGACATGGGAACATCCGCACTTCCAACAGGCTCCCCAGCGAGGCCAATGCTGCTGGTTCATGGACCACTCTGGGTGGCATGCTACCTGGAGTGACTGCCTCCCTCAAATTCATTTAGGCTGTTTAGTGCTAGCCTACAGTCCATCCTCCCATTTCCCTACTTTCCTGGGTCTAACTGTATACTTTCACACCAGCTAGTTCCTATACATGAAAAATACTTTTCCTCTAAGTTCTCTCATTAGCTTGGCAACATTTTCATGATTTTACCTCTTATCTCTTGCAAATAATGTTTCCTTACTGAGTAAAGCTCAAGTTATGATAATTCTTCTTCAACTGATGCCTTTTCCAGTTTGCATCTGTGAATACCAACCTGGTAGTAGTGTAAAAATGTATTTAATTATTCATAAGCCTGACAAGATCTGCTGTGTTCAATTGATTTGTTGTGTATGTAATTCACTGCCCGAGTTTCAATCTGGATGTTGGTCTACATCGAACACTTCAGTTTTAGGCTCTATGCTGTTAAAAAGGATCCTTTTAAGTTGCTGATCTGCCGCTCAGTAATTCGATGATGCTCAGTTTTCATTATGCCAATGGTGTTTCAGTCCTGTGGACTTTGCAATCACTGCCGGCAGAAATACCGAACCCCATTATGGCATAAAACTTCCATTTCATTTAAGGCTTTGGGTTAATGCCTTTATGGTGGGATGTCTATGAAATTGAATCCCAGGGCTTGAGGGTTCGCCTTGAGGATGCTCCTGGTTTTGTGACTTTTCTCAAGTCTTTAAGCCTTTCTAGGCTTCAGTTACCCATCTGGCCATTGTTTGGGTGTTTTGCCGTTTCTCTTCTTCCAAGGTGTCAGCCAGGTTATGGCACCAGCTTCCTTGGTAATATCTGGTAACATGATCCAGCCTTATTTTATGATAATAGCTTCTATTACCCGACAGTTATATGGTGGTGGTGGAAGATCATGAAGGAACATCATGACTAACAATAAGATATCAAAGTTAGCAATCACCACAATAGGGATCTGTCTGGAAATAAGACGTAGGCAGAATGGCTTACCATAAGCGGGAATTTGCTTCTTAAATCCATTAAAATGTATGGAGCCAATAGGACCCCACACAACTCTAGTCAGCAGTTGTCTTTAATTTCCACCCAGGTCCTTGGACTATTAGCAATCAATGGTTCTCAAATCTTGGGTGTATAACATTAAATAGTTAACGGAGAATTGGAAGTGTGATATTTTCCCTTGGTTAGATAAAAACTACCTTCCATGATAATAATTTCTCTCCTAATTGCCATTAAATGTATTGGCTTAAGAATGACCACGTGTTTTCACTTGTGCAACTTTCCTGTTGAGAACATCGAGTTGCTACCTTGTATGTGGCATCGTTTCACACGTTTGAAAACGGGCTCCTACACTTCCCGTGAGCATCTCTGCGAAGTGGTGCAGATTTACTGTTTGAGCCAGAAGCCACGACCTTCTGTGCAGGAAATGTGTCGAGGCCAGCACAGCACCAGCCTCAGCACCTAGAGAGAGGATGCCTCGGAGAGGGGTGTGTTTTTCCTTGAGATGCGTGCGTTTGGTCCTCCTTTTCGGATTCTCATTGCTCCTGAGACAGCCCCTACTCCTCGCCCAGAACCAAGACTCGTCCTTTGTACCCGCTCGTATCACCCGCGGCCTGAGCGCTCGCCCCGGCCTCCGCCCAGACCCAGACCCAGACCCAGACCCCGCTTCCCGCCCGGCGCCCGGCACCCGGCGGCCCGCGCTGGCCGGGGCTTGCGGACACGCCCGAGTCCGGACCCCATTTACTCTCGGGCCCCGCCGGTGCCATCTGGCTGCAGCCCCGGGAAAAAGTAAACGTTGGCCTTAGTCACCCCTGCCCCTCCGCGTTCTCTGCTGGACACGACATTCAGACCCAGGGTCACTGGGGGACGCGGGGCAGGAAAGAAAAAGTGAAGACAGAAAAGGGCCCGTGTCCTTGCGGGCCCCTCGGCGGCGTCGGTGCCCGGGACGGGGGCGCACCCCCCCACCCTCCACCCTCCGCCCCAGCCTCACCCCACCGACCGGCGGAGGCGCGGCCTTTCCGCGGGGCGGGGCCAGGGCCTGGCGGGGTCCCGGGTTCCCCTGGTGTCAAGGCTTTAGGGGTCGACGCCGTGGATCTG